AAAACAGAAAAGTAACTGATGAGCAAAGACACACCCGACCCGCAGGCCCAGCAGTTCGCCTTCTCTGTTTTGCACTCTACTGCAGTGCTCCGTCCTGGTCCCTGAGCCCCAGGTGGCTCCTGACAGCAGTGTCCTGAGGGAGTCACAGCGTTCTCAGTATTTTCTGCCCCCCCCCATGACTGGGGGCCCGTTTTCATGCAGGCCTGGAGCCGGGGAGGCTTGGTCGCGTGTGGGTGACCCGTGCTGGTGGTGCTTCGGCCCAGCGAGCACACAGGTGGTCTGATGGGGCGGATTCTGGCTTAGCGAGCGTCCCAGCCCGTTACTGGGTCCTTTCCCGTGGCTCCGACTGAGTACTGTCAGTGCCAGTGACGAGGAGTCGTTGGGCGCGGCACTGACATTGCGAGTTACTGATGGACTGTAGTACCCGACGCACCCAACCATTCACTGCGTGCTGGACACTCTGCCTTGCTTGCATTCATTTAAGCTTCACAAAACATTGTAACATTGGTGTCATTATTATTATTTATACTTTAAACATGAAGAAATGGTCTGGGGAACAGAGAGGGTGAGACACTGGTTCAGGGTTACCAGCTGGGCCAAGTGAGGGGCGGAGCTTGGTTCGACCTCACGCCATCCGATCTGGAAGCTCGATGTGGAGACTGCCTCTCCCGGCTCTGTGACACCCCCTGTGTGATTGGCCCTGGGCCAGGGTCGGGGGCTCAGCGGGAGAGAGCTGTGTATTTTGTGAGCCTGCCCACACAAAGAGTGTAGTCTACCACGTGAGTGTGCGATGATGGATTTAAGAGGCCGTAATAGGAGTGTGTCCAGGTGCGGGCCGGGGTGGGGCCGGTAGTGCGGAGTGCAGGGCAGGGGCGCTCTGGGCCGACTCGGTCTCGGGCTCATGGGCTTAGGCTCGGGGGGCCCGGAGGTAACTTCGAGTGTGTGTCCCACTGGGGTGTGCACAGGCCACATGGTCGTGGACGGAGGGTCTGGGGGCCTTGCATCCCGGGTGTGGGGCGCGGCCCTTAACAGGCAGGCAGGGAGTCTGGCCTCCTCTGAAGGGCGTGGGGACCTGTGCGGGGTCGAGGTGCCCGGACATGTGTTCTGGAGCTGCGATCATGGCTAGAGGTGAGGGTGTGGTGGGAGTGCGGACCGAGCCAGAGAGACAGCCAGCAGGACGGCGGTTACCGCTGTGTGCCGGCGGGGGGCAGAGGGCATCAGGTCCTGGCACACCCGTGGTGCTCGGGGCTGAGGAGACCCTCTCACCGGTCCAGTTTGGCCCAGAGCATCTGCCGTTTCCCCAGTGACCTGGACGCCCCTGGGAGGACCTAGCCAGGCCTCAGCGGTGCAGGTCCTCCCTTCCCTTCCTCCTTCCAGAAACTCCCACCGGCCCTGCGTGGGCGCGGCCATTATGCTTTTCTCCACGGTGTGTTTCCCTGGTGTCTCCTTCGCCGACTCCTGGGTTCCTCGGAGCGAAGCCCGTTTCTTTGTCACCCTCCATTGTTCGGTTCCCAGGTGCTGCCTGGCGCCCAGTGGCCCTTGGGATTGTGTCAAAGTGCAGTCACTGGGACTTCTGTCCCCGTGGGCATGGGGGTTGGTGGAGACGTAGTCTCCCGCAGATTCTTTGTTGTCCCTTTGGCGACGTTTGAGTGCCATCTCTTAGCTTTGTGGGACTCGCTGTCACACCTGCTGAGGGTGGCGTGAGCCCCGTCTCTGCACAGAGGGCCCCCTGGGTGCTGCAGGAGGTGACCTCTCTGCCTTCGACAGGTCCACGGTGCAGCCCCCAGGGTCCTCACTCATGGAGGTGACTCTCGAGTGGACAGTTCGCCCATGGAGTGAGTGTGCCCCTTGCTCAAGGACTGCCGGCCATCTGGGGGGGTCACTCTGCCCCCTGCTGGGCACCGGGGCCAGGAGGGAGACTCTGGGCATGGCTGGCCGCACCTGCCTGCCCGGACCCTGCCGTGATGGCTCCTGTGGTCTCGGGCTGGAGGGCTTCTCCGGCCGCACCTGCCTGTGCATAGCGCCCATGTCCCTGGGATGTGTCCCGGTGTCCTGAGTCTGCAGTTGTGTCCCCTCGGTCGGCATTTGAGTTTCCCTACTTCTCTGCGCATGAAATCACTGCTCCCAAATAAAACTTGTTTTGTAAACTACAGAAGACGCCTTTAAAAAGCAGCTTCAGACCATTCATCTCCCAAGAAACACGCGTGCGCACACGCAGAGAATGTCCACTGGAAATCCACTGAAAATCCCCGTCAACAAGCCCTTTTCACGCCTAGACAATCCAGGGACGGTCTCATCCTGCACGCTCCCACTGCCTGCCTTGGAGAAGGTTCCGGATGCGCTAACGGCGAAGCTGTGATTCACTGTGAGCGACGTCCGCGTTCCCGGGGCCGGGCTCTGCCTGCGTGTGCGGTGCCGTGTTGCCGCCTGTCAGTGGCCCCCGCCCCCCACGTCCGTGTTGCCGGAAGACGCCCTTCAGGGCCTCGGCGGGGGGAGCCCACGTGGTCCTGTGCACGTTGGACACTGGCTGCCTCGGGGCAGGTATCTGGACTCTCAGCACCTGACACGTGGAGATGCCCTTGAGGTGTGAAGGGTGCCCCCTGAGAGCCTCGTGGCTGGCTTGGGGACCAGGGTTCGCAGGGCCCACCGGCACACCATTCGGTGCTGGCCGTGACCTGTTACACCCGGACGGCGCAGAGGCGGGGTCGTCCGGAGCTGCCACCAGCTTTGACAAGCCCCCTGGGTGGCAGAACGGCCGACTCTCCATCTTGCTGCCTCGACGGACAGGCTGGGAGGTTGGGGGGAGCTCACATCACTTCAGAGCTGCTGCTTCCCAGGCCCAGCTGGTTTTTCCTCTGTGAACTCACTTCTGTATGTTCCTTAAACTTCCAGGGTTTTTACACCCAGATGAGGTCACTAAGTGAAATACAAACTGTGTTTCGTGCCAGTTTTGGGTGTTACCTCACGTTCAGTATTTTGAGGCTGAAATAGGCCCTGGGATAGAAAGCACATCATCTGCCTTTGAAATCATCACAAGTGATACACAGCCACCCAAAATGGGCAGAGACCGGAACTGCTCGGGAGAATAATCGGAATGAACTTGAGACGCCATGGCGGTCCAGTTGGCGTGTGTGTTCATCGATTTTAGGGAGAGTTTCCACGGGTCTGCGTGGGCGGAGTCTGGCTCGGACCCCCTGTCCATCAGGAGGACCGTGGGCGCCCACTGGCCGCAACGCTCCGCCGCCACGGAGCTTAGCGCGGCTTCCCACCTTCTTCCAGAGTCACTGCGCGGACCGCACCGGTCCCCGACGCGCCCGGCCGCTCTCGAGCACGGAGCTTTGCTGAAAGCTGTCTCAGAACACACAGTTCCAACCTAGGCTTGTCCCTCCGTGCGGGTCGGCGGGCCGGGCGTTTGGAGAGAGCAGGAGGCCTCTCTCCTGGACGGCGTGCACGGCCTCGGGGGAAAGTGGAGAAACAGCCGAGCCCCGAATCTCCGCTCCCTGGTGGCGTGTGGGCGACACGCCCTGCGCCCCTCCATTCTGTCCTCAGCTTTCCCTTCCGTGGCTGCTCCCGCGGCTGTGTGGCGGGACGGACCTGCCAGCGCGGGAAGGGAGCCACAGCCAGGTTCCCGGGAGAGAACCTTTCACCTTCAGACTCGAAAGCTGCATCCGTGCACTGGCCACTTCAGAACCAGACGCCCTTGGCCTCTTCACGTTTCCCACACCCCCAAACCCGAGGCCTCTGTGCACGTGAGGTTGTAAGTTTGTAAAAACACAGCATCCTTCCGGTCACAGCTTTCTAAAGAAGGTGTAACCTGGGTGCCTCTGTGAGAAACCGCAGGCACCTTTCGAAACAGCGACTCTGAGACTTCTGTTTAGAGAGGAGGGTTAACAGTCGTGTCCCAGGGGAGCGGCGGGGGTGCTCCCTCCCGTCTCAGCGAGTCCCGGCACTTTCCTGAAAGACGCCGTCCCTCTCATGTGTGCTCCAGTGGGCTCATTTGTTTATATTCCACATGTCCCAGTCAGGTGCAAGTCCCTGTTTTCACTGCACCTGGTTGCTTTTGGTGTGCACCGTCTGGACCTGTTTGGTGGTTAACAGGTGTTTGGCTGGGTTGCCCTCAGCGCAGAGGCTGCCTGCGGTGCCAGGTGCAGCCCTGGACGCCCTGGTTCCTGTCACCTTGGCCTGTGCGTGGGCTGCTGGACATGCCCAGTTGCTTGGGGGAGCTGCTCAGACCAGGGCTGTCCTGAAAGTAACACAGTGCGGCATGCACTGCCACCAGAGAGGGGACCTGGCCTCCTTGGGAGGGTGCTGCGGGATCTGGCCTGAGGACGGGTGGCGAGGCCTCCTGGGGCCTGCAGGGCTTTCTGTGCCTGGGACGCTGCCCTGCAGCCAGAGCTTCTGTGGCTCTCAGGGGCAGGACAGAGGTGGGGTGCAGGAGAAAAAGGACAGGACTGGGGTGGCCACACACACCTGGGGTGGTGTCGGTGAGGCTGCCGGTTCGGGGCGCCGCGCTGGAAGCATCTGAGGGTCCCCTTGCTGCACCTCTTTGCCTCCCTCTCACTGAGTTACCCTTGTTCTTAACCGAAGACTCATTTTTGTGCCCCCTGCGCACCTTGGAAGTGCCCTGCACACCTGCGGGTCACTGGCCATCAGCAGGAGCTCTGCCTCCTGGTGGCCACCATCACCCCCGTGCGGTGCCTCTCTGCTCCTCACGCCCATGGCTCTCTCCAGCCTTTCAAGGTTTTATATCCTTTTGATGAAGCTATTTTAGTGCACGAGCATTTACGTTGGCTTATTTTAATTATTTAACAATCATTATGGAAGATTACTAGTGTGTTGATCTTCGAAAGGGAGGTATTTTTGTACATCTCTGGGTTTTCATTGGTGCCTCTTTTCTTCAGCCAGGGCAGGATCACACGGACCACCAGTGGTGGATGGGATGGGTCCCCATCCCCAGCAAACCTCCCCTCTAAGCTCTCCTCTTGTCTCTTCTGTTCCAGGTGCCTGCTGCCCTCCGCCATGCTCTCCAGGTAGGACATGAACGTGGCTCTGGCAGGTGCGTGTCTGCAGCCCGGTGGCAGGGGGCCTCTCTGAACATGGAGAGATAAGACCTGGTCCTGCAGGCCTGACTGAGAGCCGCACCTGCCCGGCTGGGCGAGCCCGAGTTCTGGAGATGGATCGCGGCCGCGAGGCCGAGGTGGAGCTGCGGAGGGGCCCGGAGGTGGGGGGCGACAAGGCCGTGAGCCACAGCTGCTGCATCTGCGGCAAGAGCTTTCCCTTCCAGAGCTCCTTGTCGCAGCACATGCGCAAGCACACGGGCGAGAAGCCCTACAAGTGCCCCTACTGCGACCACAGGGCTTCCCAAAAGGGCAACCTGAAGATCCACATCCGCAGCCACCGCACGGGGACGCTGATCCAGGGCCATGAGCCCGAGGCCGGGGAGACGCGCGTGTCCGAGGGCCTGGACGGCTGCACCAGCCCCACCAAGAGCACTTCGGCCTGCAACAGGATCCTGAATGGCGCCACGTCACTGGACAGCAGCAAGGTCCTGCTGAGGAGCTGCCGCAAGGAGGCGGAGGGATCCCCGTGCGCCTCGGCGGACGGCCGGGCCGTTGCGCAGTGCTCCTTCTGCAAAAGCAGGTTCCAGCGCAAGAAGGAGCTGCAGCGCCACGTGCACCGGGCGCACAAGCCCTTTAAGTGCCGGCTGTGCAGCTACGTGACGCTCCGGGAGGAGTCGCTGCTGAGCCACATCGAGAAGGACCACATCACGGCGCAGGTGCCGGGCGGCGAGGCCTGCGCGGAGAACGGCAAGCCCGACCTGCCGCTCGGGGAGTTCCCGTGCGAGGTGTGCGGCCAGGCCTTCAGCCAGACCTGGTTCCTGAAGGCGCACATGAAGAAGCACCGGGGCTCCTTCGACCACGGCTGCCACATCTGTGGCCGGAGATTCAAAGAGCCGTGGTTCCTGAAAAACCACATGAAGGCCCACGGCCCAAAGGCGGCAAGCAAGAACAGGCTCAGGAGCGAGCTGGACCCCGTGGCCACCATCAACAACGTGGTGCAGGAGGAGGCCATGGTGGCCGGCCTGGCCCTCTACGAGATCTGCACCAAGTGCGGGAACTTGTTTACAAACCTGGACAGCTTGAACGCCCACAACGCCGTCCACTGCAGGGTGGAGGCGGGCCGGACGCGGGCTCCGGCCGGCGAGGGTGCGCTCGGCCCCGCGGACGCGCAGCAGCTCTTCCTCCAGTGCCTGAACCTGCGCCCCGTCGGGACCGATGCACCCGCCCACGCACAGGCCGGGCAGCGCGTGGCTGAGCTGGACCCGGTCAACAGCTACCAAGCCTGGCAGCTGGCCACCAGGGGCAAGGTGGTCGAGCTGGCTGAGTACCTCAAGTACGGGGCGTGGGACGAGGCACTGGGCGGGGATGTGGCCTTCGACAAGGAGCGGCGGGAGTACATCCTGGTGAGTCAGGAGAAGCGCAAACGCGAGCTGGAGCCTGGTGCGCAGGGCCACCCACGGAAGAGGACAGGCGCACTTGGAGACCCCATGGCCGGGCCCCCTGACCCCCGGCCCACCTCCGCACGCCCCAGCCGCCGTGCCGCCACCCCCGCAGGCCATGGCAAGTCCTCCGAGTGTTTTGAGTGCGGCAAGATCTTCCGCACCTATCACCAGATGGTGCTTCACTCCCGGGTGCACCGCCGCGCCCGCCGAGACCAGGATGTCCCCGGGGACCGCCTGCCCCGTGTCCGCTCAGGCTCCCTCAGTGAGGGTGACTCAGCCTCGCAGCCCAGCAGCCCCAGCTCAGCCTGCGCCGCCACCGACTCCCCAGGCTCAGGCCTGGCTGAGGAGGCTGCGGATGAGAGTGGAGAGGAGGGCGCAGCCGACAGTGCACCAGGTGAGTGCACGCGCCTCTGCTCTGTACCACCAGGTTGCTGGTGGTTGGCACCCAGGTGGCTCAGGCCTGGATAGTCCTGGTGCCCAAGTATCCCATGCCCAGGTAGTCTGGGCTCAGGTAACCCCATACCCAGGTGGCTCTGTACTCAGGTGGCCCCTTGCCCAGGTAGCCCTTTGCCAGGTATCCCATGCCCAAGTGGCCCTGTGCCCTGATATCACTGAGCCTAGGTGTGCCTGGCTCAGAGTCTTGCACCAGATGGGCCTGTGCCCCCGGAGCCCTTCCCAAGGTACTTCTGAACCTGAAAGTCCAGGCCTGGCGGTCCTGCAGCTGGGCGGCTCGGGCTCAGGTAGGTGAGGAGCCCGGGCACCCATGCCAAGGTGGTTGGGGCTCAGCTAGCCCCAAATCCTGCTGTCCCAGGCCCAGCAGCCCCACAGCCAGCTGGCTCAGTGTCCTGCCCCACGTGACCCTTGCCCAGGTGGTGTGGGCTCAGGTAGGCCTGCCCCCGGGTGGCCCAGAATGCGGGCCGGTGGGTGCAGACGCAGTGCCTGTTGCTCCTCTTGAGGCTCCTTTTCACTCATTGCCCAGACACGTTTGCGAAAATGGACACGTTTGACCTATTGGGTTGACGGACCCTGGGGCCTCAGTCATTTGATGGGCCCCGGGTGATGGCCCACCCGCGGGGTGTACCCCGCTCTCTGTCTGCAGTCTCAGTTCTCTTGCCACACTGTGCGCACGCGCCCTCTGCTCTGCCGGTCTCTCTGCACCAGGCAGCCCAGTCAGGGTAACTTCGAATCGCGCACAGTTATAATTAGTCTCCCCGGACCCGGAACCCTGTGGGTCTGGAGACAGCTAATTGGCAAGGGTGACTTTCCAAATAGCAGCCGTGTAAACACCTCAAGCCCTTGGCCAACTCCGTGTCCGTTGTTTTCCTACTTGTTACAGATTTTTAACTTTTTGGTACTTTCTTCGTCGTTTTGTGTTTTGAGGAACCCTTGCAGGTTACAGAGCCTGTAACTTTCTCCACGTGGCCCGGAAGGGTTTTTTCCCCTTCTCCCTGAACTTGGGGTCATGGATGTTGGTTTTACCAGAAAGGTCGGGGGATGGAAGCCGCCACTTCAGGGGGACCCCTGCTGCCTTGTGGGGAGGAAAGCCCACTTGTAGGTGTTCGCACACATCGGCGGTGAGTGAGAACCCGCCACACGCTGCGGCCCCACACTCACCATTGCTGCTCAGTCAGCAGCAGTGGGAAGGAGCAGGAGAAGTTACTGTTTTCTGAGTGCGCGATGCCTGTTCTCTGAGCTTTATTTTTATTATTATTACTATTTTTAAACATTTTATTTATTGTTAGAGGGGAAGGGAAGGAAGAGGGAGGGAAACATCAATGTGTGGTTGCCTTGCACGTGTTCCCTGCTGGGAACTGGCCTGCAATCCAGGCATGTGCCCTGACGGGGAATCGAACTGCGATCCTTTGGTTCGAAGGCCAGCACTCAATCCACCGAGCTACACCAGTCAGGGCAATAATAATAATAATAATTATAATTATAATAATTATTATTATCATCATCATTCTAACAGCCTGCTGTGAGAGCCTGGGCGAGCCCAGTTGCAGCCGCCTAAGTTCTGGTCTCCCCGTGTTCCCATTTTGACAGCCAGACATTTTATTTGTTCGCTTTCCAGTGACACTGTGACCACTTTGGGGACAGGGACAAAGTATTAGGTTGGTCCTCAATCTCATTCATTTTGTACTTTGGTGTGTCTAATATGTGGAAGAGCTCTTGGACCTGCCCCCACTGTTGCGATGGGTCAGAAATGAGCAGCCGTGAGCTGATTCTGTGGCACCCTTAACGGCAGGGGCTCGGAGAGCTCCGATTATTTTCACTATTGATTAGAAATTGTCCTTTGTGTCAAGGTCACTAAATGTTAAAGGTTATTACTTCCGAAGATTATGTGTAGGTTCTCTATAGCACCCTCCTGTTTGAGACATTAGATACCTCAGTCGACTGCAGAACAAGATTCTGGCTGGAAATTGAATTTAACCTGCTCACAGTAGAATGAACAGAACGTTGCCCCTTATGCAGAGGCTCAGAACGAGATTCGTGGCACAACAGTGGCAACGGAACGTTGAGGATCATCGTCAGTCTGCATGTGCCACTGCATGCAGTCAGTCACCCTGGGGACAGTCTCTTTTCCCCTAAAACCACACACTTCTCAGTCCCGGTGGCTCATAGCAGCTGCGTGCGGCCTTGAGTTGCTGAGTCACGCGTGCCCCTCGAGGAGGGAGATTCTCGAACGTGGATTGAATCCCCAGCGGACTGGCTCACTGGTGGCTGCGTTGGAAAAGGAGAGGGGGGTTTGGAGACTCTCCCTTGTGCTGTGGTGCGCCTTTCTGTTCTCACAAAATGCACGCAGCTTCGAAAGGTGCTCTCATTTGCTGTGACTAGGGGGTGGCTTGGATTTTTAAACATCTGAGTGACTCGAAGTTCTCTGAGAACTTGGAGGGGTGACTGGTTGAAAGTGTGGGAGCCAGTGTGTAGCCAGGGAGGGAAGGGTGGTCACAGTGGTCGCACGACAGTGGATCCGGCCGCAGACTCGACCCCAAAATGCAGAGCCTTGTGACCTTCCAGCGCACCCTGTGCTGTCACTTCACCCAGGTTGTGTGTGTGCCTGTGTGTTTGCCACACGTGAATGGGTTTGCACGCTGCTTCTGCATCTACAGAGGCCTTGCGCTGTTAGAGTCACTGGGAGACACGGCTCTGTTTGCACGATGTTCCCCCCCATTGAGGGCTGCTGCCCCCCCCCCCCATCGGGCTCCGACTGTCCCCTTGTGTCTGTGTCCACAGCCAATGGGCCCTGGCAACTCCCATCACTGAGCCCTGATAAGAAGAACAGAGCTGGGGACGAAGTTCCGTCACCCGAAATGTGCTACTTTGTTCGTTTTCAGTCCCCCATCGGGGAAGCGACCAGGCCCAAGCAGAAAGTTCCCAACAGTTAATTCTGTTCGTCAGGGCAGGGGTCCCAGAGGGCCTGTCCCTGAGGGCCACAAAAATCAACATCTCCAAACACAGAGCAGAGTCTGGGCCCTCAGGGCCCAGCACTGGGACAGGAGCTGTGGCTTCCAGCCAGCAGGCCCAAGCAGCCTCTGCTCAGAGAGCCTGGGGACGACTTGGGGACAGTGGGAGGCCACCGAGCACACCTGGGAGGCCCTGCCTCCCACGGTGCCCTTAGAGTTGGTGCCTTTGCGAGGAGCCCCTTCCCGCGGCCCTGCCTGGTGCGGGGGGCCGTCCCAGGGGTGGGAGCACCCGATGCAGAGCTCCCAGGAGCCCGTCTCTGTGAGTCACCAGTGTATCGTTTCTACAGAAGTGTGACTGCCCCAGGTGTGGGCCATTGCCTGTGGTTCTAACTCCTGTCCCATCGGGTCTGCAGACCATGGAGCTTACCCTCTGTACTTACTTGGGTGAGGACCCCTGTGCCTTAACTGGTGAGACCCCCGTTGTCATTGACGTTGCGTGATGTTGCAAGCACATGACTGTGTGTGACCAAGGAGGGTGGTGGACTGGGCGGCACAGCCTGACGGAACAAAGAGCTGGGAACCAAGATCGCAGCACCTGTGCCGCTGGAGGGGTGAAGGGGTACATGTCAGAGAGAGACAGCGTGGGCTGGGGGGGGGGATTGGAGGGGGAAACGGGGTCACTGTGGCCGGTCTCTGTCCCCTGCCTCCCGTCACTGCACCGATACCGTGGATGGAAGATCCACAGTCTCTGGTTCTAAGATGTTCTTCGCTGGGCACGTGCCTCGCGTCTGGCCTCGCGTCCCCGAGTGCACGCTGGCCGGCGGCGAGGGCCGGGCTCGGCCGTGTGGCCAGCGCAGAGGCTGGACTGCTGTGGCTGTGTCTCTGTGTCTCTGCAGTTGGAGCGCTCACGGGAACAGCTCAGGGGTGCGGTCCTGTGTCCGCCTGCTGTATCCGGGTTTAGGGGAAGCCCAGCTGACGAGGTCGGGTGAGGGGTGTGGGCTGGGCTGGTGGCGAGGACGGTCTGGGCAGCAGAGTCCAGGGGGTGGGCGGAGGGCAGGCGGGTTCCCGGTCACAGACGAGCTTGCACAAAGTGCTCCCGAGACGGGGACAGCAGCCCTCAAGGCTCCTACTTGCTCCAAGATGAAGGTGCCTGTCGGTTGGGGCCAGATGAAGCGAGAGTAGAAAACCCTGGTGTTTACTTACTGGTCGTAAAACACAAAATTCCTTAAGAAATGCACTTGTGCGCACTTGGCTGTGGAGCGCACAGCACCCGGTGGGCCCGTCAGCGTCCTAGCAGCCAGAAAGGGCCCTTGGTCAGCGCTGCAAGCACCCGGGCCCCCTGACGCCCGGGTATGACGCTGCCGCACCCGGTGTGCTGACCGGAGAAATGCCGAGTCAGGACGGAGAGTGTGTCTCCCTGACCCCGAGTCTCCCAGCAGTCACCTGTGTGTGTGGCTCGTACACTCGTGTCGGCTTGAACAGAGCACCCGTTCCCCGCCCTCCGGGGCGAGTTCATTGGTCTGGGGAGGACGGTGTCAGCGGCTGCCCTCTGGGACTTCCTGTCGCTGAGTCACACGTGTGGGATCTCCGTGCTCAGTGTGTGGAGCAGACGCCATGCACGTGTTTTGGTTTGCTAGCAAAATCCAAATGCTTCATTTATTTTCTTTCTCTCTCAATTTTTTGTTGACATACAATAGAATCCCAGGACTTCAGGCAGGAGGATGGGAGCTCAGAGGTGATGGTTATGCCCCCCTGGCCCCGATTCGTCAGTGAGGAAACCGAGGCACAGGGAAGTCTGATGATCTGCCCAAAGCCCCATGGAGGGTCTGTCGCCCAAGCACAGGGTGGTGGGTGGAAGGCCCGTGAGCCCAGGCCTAGATTGTGGTTTTTCTTCTGCACTGAGTGGTTGTGTGTCATCAGGAAGTTCTTCGGTTTCCATGGTGACAGTGAGGGGCCATGACGCCTGCGGAAGGGGGTGTCGTCAGCACGT